CGAAGGATGGCAAATGCATTTTAATACTCATTTTTTAATCTACTTACCAAAGAATCTCGAATTCAGATCATTGTGGCAGCGTTATCACAAGCTATTCCGACAATATTTGTCAAAGGAATATCTTTATTTTGAAAACATTAAAAGCCGAATATCATTTTGCCGGGGAACAATCTGTAGCGTTTATACAAATTAACTCTAATAATTGAATTATACATTTTTTACTTTCTAATGAAACGTATTTCATTAAAACAAAAAGCAATTTATCATTAGTGATAGTTGTGGTACATCCATGATACTGAAGGGCCTCCCTAAAGTCAGTTCCCAGGAAATAACGGAAGAACTAAACCTCAATCCAAATTACAGAACTACCCAGAAAAAACCCATTCAATTATGCCACCTACAAAATCACCTTCACCCCAGAAAACACAATTCAACAGATTAAGAAAACTAGCCATGTCTACTCCTCAAGAATTTACTGGGAGAAATATGATAGTAAGAAACTCTTTATCCAATGCTTCCGATGTCAAGCCCAAGCCTAAACCCTTCATCCTTAGTTGAATCCTATTCTCAATTTACATCAACGACATACCCAAATCTATACACTTGCTGTCTACGCCGACGACACAGCTATCTACTCTACTTAATGGAAACTAGAGCAAGCAGTGAAATACACACAGACACATCTAACAAATATAACAGACTTCTTCACAGCATGGAAACTAGATATCAATGACACCAAAACTGAAACAATATTCTTCACAAGATAAAATAATTTTTTCGAAAAAAAAATTTTACCAACTTCAAAAAAGGTACAGTGAAAAGTATGAAATAATTTCTAGGTAATTTATATGAATACGCACTAGCTCTAGATAAAAGTATGGGAAAATGCAGTGAAAAGTATGAAATAATTTCTATTTTTACTGCATTGTTATTCACCATTGTTTGATGAATTTTGTTAAATTATTAAATACATCATATTAAATGCAATGCACCTTTTTCAGGGGCGGCGCATAATGTAAAAAATTTTTAATTCCGGTTTAGGTTAGTTTTTGGTAGAGGCGGCAATATTGAATGCTGTCAATGTATACACGTTTATTGTCTATGTGGAATTAATAATTAATGTATATAATATGTACACGGAAATATAGTTTGAGTAGATTTGAGGCTTTTTTGGAATAGGTTTGGGATAGTATTTGGTGGGGGCGGCGATATTGAATAGTGTTAATGATAGCAATAATTAAAGACTGTAACAATACCAGAAAATCGCGATTGAAATTTCTCGATCATCGGTAAGCGCGCAGGGTCGGGCGAGCGGGGAACGTTCGCGAACGCTGGCGAACGCGCCCGCATAGTAACGCGGCTTGTTGATTGACCGCGATCTATTAGCAACGATCGGGTATAAGAATCGCTCTCGCGGTAGCGGACGCGGGATTCTTTGCTGCACTCTTAGGAGAGAACGAGGTAATTACCACGGTCGCCTAATGAGTAAGGAGAGTATGAAGCCTAACTTTTGGACGCCTTTAGCAGCTCAGGAGAGAACGGCTGGAATTACCGCCGGTCGCCTGTAAAAGAGGAGAGTACGGGAGCTCTTGCCTGGCCGTCCTGGAACGGAGAGAACGGCTGGATTTACCGCCGGTCGCCTTCCAGGGAATGGACGGTAGAGTCACCCGGACGCCTCGACGCGATATACTTTTCTGTTATTGTAAATTTCTGTTATTGTAAAATTGAGCCGAAAGCTTTGTTTTCCGAACAAATCTGTAATTCCTATTCCTCTCCCAGGAAACCAATATGTACAATTGATTAATAAATAAACTGTAGGTCGTGAGGGTGAAGGAACAACTAGAATTCTATTTGCAGTGACTTTTTATTCACGACTTTTAACGGTCGATCTTGACCACTAGTCAACTCCACAGGACGACTCGTTAAAGACTGATCGTTCTTAAAATTTCCTTACGCATCACCACTTCCTTGCGCCCTTAGCGCGTCTCCCCGGGAAGGGGGTGTGCTGAGGTGGGGGAGTACCACCGTTGGAAATTTGTCAATGCAGCGGGATTTCCTCCGGACCTCAGGCCTCGCGTCGTCACCTGCTGAGGGTTGCTTGACTTTGCCTGGCAGCCCTTCGGAAGACCCATGGTTTACGACATTTGCAATATGCCATTGAGGCCGTAGCTAATTGTCGCGAGGAAACGAACATCTGTTAATAACGGAAAAATACGGCTTACTCAAAAATAGCTTCGTCGTTTGCTTGTCGTAAACCATTCTAGCTGTTTGTACGTGAACCGTTATTTTCGGTGTACGCTAGCCGCTACAAAACCATTTCCTTTTTCCCTTAGAACCTGTTTCCAAATTCCTTCCTGCGAACCTACATGCTTTACAAGATCATATTTTTTGTTTCTCCGACAGAAAGTTAAACCAAATTTAGCAATTTTGAATATACTTAATTTTAAATATTGCGCCACCTCCGAGGAAGGTACATTGCATTTAATATGATGTATTTAATAGTTTAACAAAATTCATCAAACGATGGTGAATAACAATGCAGTATAAATAGAAATTATTTCATACTTTTCACTGCATTTTCCCATACTTTTTTCTAGAGCTAGTGCATATTCATATAAATTACCTAGAAATTATTTCATACTTTTCACTGTACCTTTTTTGAAGTGGGTTAAATTTTTTTTCGAAAAAATTATTTTATTTCACTCTTTTTAGTGGCAATCTATAACCAATAGGTTTCATGCAATAACAATAGTTATGAGCAATATACAGGATGACCCAAAAACGTTGGAGGTCCTTGAAAAGGGTTGTTCCGCGAGTGTGTGTGTGGGGGGGGGGGGGGCGTGAAACCATTTTTCTTAGCGAAAATGTTGCTCGAGGTTTCGTTAAGGAGATATTCCAGAAACAGAAACTCCCGACCAATCAGAGTGCGAGTATGCCGGAGGAGCGCCTCCGGAGCCTATGCTATCGCATGCGCTCCACCGGCATACTCGCGCTCTAATTGCTCGGGGGTTTCTGTCAGTATCTCCTTAACAAAGCCTCGAACAACATTTTCGTTAAGAAAAAATTGTTTCAAATCACCGCCCACCCCAAAACACCCCATTCAAGGACATCCAACATTTTTTGGACACCCTGTATAATTGCAAATGGGATTATCAGGAATACATGTACAATTACATGTGAAAGGATTGATTGCGTTTGGTAAATTCCTTGTCGAGCTACACCAGAGCATAGCAATTTTGCACCAACAATGATTTTAAACAATGAAAGTGTCCATAAATTTCTGCAAATGGGAACATCACGAATTCATCTATTATAAAATGAGGAAAGTTCCATCGCGCTTGGTAATTTCCTCACCAAATTACATCATATAATAGGAATTTTGCGATAACAATAGTTATAAACAATTAAAAAATTCAAAAAGTTTTGCATCCGTGATCATTGCGAAAACCTCTCCGCCAGCAAAATGTAAGGGGTTTCATCGATTTCAGGCCAAAAATACGTGAGATAGTACGCTTTTTGCGATAAAATGTGATATAAAGTGGTAAAAAATAAGACAAACACAAATGTTTTGTTATGAGACCAAATGGCAAATGTTCTTCCAGATGCAAGAAGTTTCAATCTGATTGGTCCATACGTCTCGGAGTAAGAAGCAAGACAAAATTTTTCTGTTTAAAAAAAAACGGGTAAAAAATGACAAATCACAAAATGTTTCTTTTACGCGACCAACTGGAAGAAATATTCGACAAGATGCAAAAGGTTTCATTTTGATTGGTCAAGCCATCTCGGCGTAATAGGTGAACAGTCATAAAAAAAAAAAAAAACATGTCGAATGAGTAACCTTCTCATTTTCGAAGTCGGTTCAAAAAGAACAAAAAATCCTTCAAAAATCAAAATAGGAAACCACCAAATAGAATGGACCAACAAAGTCAAATACCTTGGACTATGGATAGACAACAAACTTACATGGAAGCATACAATACAGGATAGAGCAAGAAAAACAATAGGCGTTTTCATTCAAACACCTTCTCCCACTAATAGGAGAAAACAGCACACTTCACAAAAAATACTATTTTACAAAATGTGCGCGAGACCCATACTAACACATGGTGCACAAATCTGGATCACTGCAGCCAAAACATATATCAAAACAGCACAAAGATCCCAAAACAAATTCCTAAGAATCATATTAAACAAGGACAGAGACTATCCGATTCAACTACTACACAGAGATACCAACATCAAATACCTGGAAACCTATATACAATCAAGACTTCACAACCTATGTAACTATGAACATGCAAATCCTCTAATAAACATCCTAGGACATTACAAAACAGGAAATACCACTCAAAATTAGATTCAGGACTCCCAAAATGGTAAGCGACTCCTTATAAAAATAAAACTAATTCATTTTTTCTTATTTTTACTGTTATCAGGTTTTTTAAAACTTTTTACCCTGCAACACACAAGTAAATCAACTCCACACTACACTTCAAGGACCAAGGAGAAAAGCGGGTTATAAGGGTATCTCCCTAAGCACCGCAGCATTACTCAAGAGAAACCAACAGAAAAGAAAAGAAAAAAGACAGCGAACGCGGCATTCTTTGCTGCACTCTTTAGGAGAGAACGAGATAATTACCACAGTCGCCTAGAGAAAATCGCCTCTCCAAAAACTAAAAAGTACAGTTTACTAATAAATAAACAATTTACTTTTATTCTTAGTACCTTTCCCATTCATTCTTGCGATCCTACATCCTCCAAGCTGTATTAAATGTGATTGTTAATGAAATTGTGAAATATAAAAAAATTTATGAATGTAAACAATGAATTGAGAATTATAACAATTAACCGCTATTTTGTTATTATTTGTCATGGTATGCATCACTCTACACATCGCTATAAAATGTATATCTTTTCTTTTCTCAGTTCGAGAATTTCTAATAATTTATCCAACCACTCCATTTATCCTCGTCCAATTTCTCTTCGTTTGGAGTGTTTTGGCATTTCCGACCTTTTATAAAATTGACCAGCAATTTTTTAACTCAAATTACATTTTTGGTTAAACTTTGGATCAGGGGCCCATTTTTATTTTACATACTTCATACCTCAAAATATTTCCCAAAAATATGGCCCGAATCAACTCTGTTAATTCGAAATGTGGCAGTTTTCAAATATAGGTATAATGATGTAAAAGTAGTAGAGACAAAAAAAAGGGTAACTCACCGGTCGTCGATTTTTCATACTCCACGTGTGTTAAATTTATTATACACTACGGTGCATAACTTTAGCACCGCTACAATTTTCGTGCGTTTTGTAGATTTAATTAATAATTTCTAATTTTTAATAGTATCATGTGAAAGAGGCTAAAGATATATTATAGCAATGATAAAATGGCGAACATAACATTTATTTAAGATAACTAATATTAATATCAATATTAAATTATAATGTAATGATTAAATTATAATTTCACTGAATAAAAGGGAATAATTTAATAATGAGTAGGACCTCCTTTCTTCTCAATTAACTCAAAAATGCGACTTGACATACTCCCAACTAGTTTTTTCAAAATTTCATCGTTAATTTCATTCCAAGATTTTAGTACAGCTTCTGTTAACTGCGAAATGCTCGAAAATTGTTGGTTGTGTGCATAAATACGCCATATTATCATACCCCATAAATTTTCCATCGGATTTTGATCCGGGGAACATGCTGGCCAGTTTAATGAATTTATATTAAGTGTTTGAAACCACTTAATATAAGTGGCCTTAATGGCCATATCATGCCATTCATTCTGGATGAAGGAAACGCTAACTCCATACTTGCCACTCGAGCAAAACGCAGCCCATACCATTAACATTGCCCCCTCCTCCCAAAAATTGCGTTTAGAGAAATATTTTGAGTCTTTTTGTAGGTCTCTCCAGTAACAATTGCACCCATCTGGGCCATTGAGATTAAACTTTTTCTCATCGGAAAATATTACCTAACAAAGAACATTAAATGGAAGAAAATAATGTCACTTCTTAATTTGTCGATTAACATTAAACTTACATGATCCCAGTTTTTATTCATGTTTTTGCAGGTGTATTCTATTCTTGCTATTTTGTGGCGTTTAGAAAGAACGGCTGCTGAAATTAGTTTTTGTCTGACAATGTTTGGATTCCTTCTAAAGACACGTTGAATGGTCTAACGTGACACTTCGAGTTTACACTCCGCTGCAATTTCCCGACAGATTTTCAAACTATTGCTCCCAATTTTAATAATCTGCCTCTCAGCACGTGGGGACAGTTTCTCTATAGGTCCTCCTTTCTTATTTTGGCCATATTTCGACGGATTATGTAAAAAATTTGATATAACTTTAGGGGACCACCCAAGTTTACGTGCAATTTCCCTAATTCCCATTTCTAGCTTGTTATAGGCTAAAATTTCACCTTTCTCTTTCTCAGCAAGATATTTACCGCGTGGCATTGTATTAATTAATAAATAAAACTCTGAATTAGATGAAAATTTTATGACAAACATGCTTGAAGTGTGATGAAAATGAAGGTGGTGCTATAGTTTTGCACCGATTCTATAATGTTTTTCGACTTTATCTCAATATATGCTTAGACTACTTCAGTATATTTCCTCATCTTAACAAAATTAGTAGTGCTATAGTTATGCACCGCAGTGTATATGTAGTAGCAGTCTCGTCGTCAATTATCTGTCTGAATACTTCTGTATTTTATGATTTATAAATTTTTTTTATCACAGAGTATTATCACAGGTGTATATCACAACGAAAAATACAACACTGGGCGTCGCCATATCTGGCCATATCACGCCATATGCAATACTGACTCTACAGGGTGTCCCAAAAATGTTGTAACACCATGAAACGGGCGGTTCGGGGGGTGATTTGAAACACTTTTTCCTTGGCGAAAATGTTGTCCGAGGCTTCGTTGAGGAGATATTAATGAAAAACACTGACCAATCAGAGCACGAGTATGCCGGTGGAGCGTAAGCTACGTGCTAGGCGGCTGCGCTCATACGCTACCGCGGCCGCTCCACCGGCATACTCGCGCTCTGATTGGTCAGTGTTTTCCATTAATATCTCCTCAACTCTCTCCTCTACTCTGCACTACCTCCTTGCTGACAGTCTCGACAGCCGGAAGTCCGCAATTCCCTAGGACCGATGTTCGACAAAATGGTAGTACGTTACAGTCTCATCAGCCATACTGGAAAGCATTTTCGAACGGAAATTCAATACCGACAGTACTGTCCAGTACTGTCAGCCAATTTCCGAACACGGCCTTTGAGTTCGTCCGTCTAATAGCATTTTATTTCTATGAGTTTCGTCCACAGTCATAGTTCTGCATAGTTTGGCTTCTTCCATTCGTTTTTGGGTTCGCGTTACGTTATGTCGATTGAATGATTTTCAAGCGGCTTAAAATATATTATTCTCTATCTTTCGCGTCGGTACTTACCGGAAACGGAGTACTTAAGCCGCAGAATAATCGTTTACAAAGGTAACCACTTGTAATTGCGTTCAACACGTTGAGAAGTAACATCGACGTTTTATCGGCACAATAGTAATGGCTGCAATGCGACATTTAAAATTATTTTCTTCCTCTCTGAATATGCATATTAGTTGGAGTCGTATGACACTTTAGCGAGTTGATTAACGTCGAAATTAATTGGACGTGCAGTTCTAGCACTCTAACGTCATCTCTGATTAATACATTACATGTTATTCTACCATGAATGTACAGGGTGTTTATAAACTATTCCACTGTGCATTTACTACACAGTCAATTACTGTGCAAGTGATTTGATATCATAATCATAATGTAGTTTTGATGAATGCGATTTTTGTAGATTAGAAGTATAGGAAGATGGAACAAGAATCCAGACGTAAAGGACCTAGAAGCCCTAGCGCTGATTCAGAAGATTCTTCTCACAAAAGAAGGTCTAGGAAGTATGATCGATCACCATCTCCGAGAAGGAACAGATACCGACGATCTCGCTCTAGGGACAGAAGATCGCGTTCAAGTTCTAGAGATAGAAGAAGAAAGGATTCCAGTCGTTCGCAACAAGAATGGGAACAGCAAACCTCACAGTCTCAAACTTCTACTCCGAATCCAAACATTTCCGGTGCTTATGTTACATCGCTTCATCATTATCAGGTATAGTCAAAATTATATTTTATATTAACTGACTTATTGGTTATGTAAAAATAAAGTAAAATAAAATACAATCTATATTCGTATTAGGAACTAAAGTTGCCTGTTGGTTTATTAAGACAATACATAGGAAAATGTTATTTCTGTTCTCCAGGCACCTCCACCTCCGAATACGAGTCAGCCACCACCACCCATAGCATCTTACAATCAAGGATATAATAATTACAACTACCACTATGGGCTAGCCTATGACTACAGTTACCCGCATTCCACTAGTTATCGCAGCGTAAGTTGTTTTTAAAAAAAGAAAAAAGATTTTAATTATAAGAGGAATGTGTATTTTGTATGGGAACAATAATCTTCTTTTGCGGTAATCGAGGTTGTATTGGGATCAAAGCAATACAATTAAGTTCCACTGCTTGCGAGAAATCATTTGAGATATTACCTATTTATTTTTGTCAGTTTAATTGCACTGTACGAATTTGTGAAAATAAGTACGAGATTGTTGTGTGAAACTACCAAAGTGTTGTTGATAGCAATTGGTAGTATCGTTGATTTTTGGGGATGAACGTTATGTTCCTTTGTATCGCGAGATATTGCGAATTCCAGCGTAAGTATAACGTTCGCGTTGTTTATTTTATTGGCATCGACATTGGAAACCAGTATTATTGACCAGATGATTCATCTTCAAGAATCTTCCGTGTATTATCCAAAGTTCTGATTTGAGTATGGACGAATAAAGGTAAGGTTCCATAGGAATACTGATTGAGTGTTTGAGATCAAATGTATATTTATTTTGTTAGGATTACCCAAACTGGCCAGAAAACGAGTTACCCTATAACAATCAACAAGCACCTCCACCTCCTACGTTAACATCTCAGCAAGAATCATCGAGACCAGTGGATAGTGGTTCCTCTGGATTAGTGTCATCCTTGGCAAGACCAGAGGATGCCAAAAAGGAAGGTGTGTCTTTTAATTTATTTTAATTTTATTTCATGTATTCGATCGCAAGTCTATATTCAATTATCAATTACATAACTTTTATTAAGAGTTTTAACATTGTTACGTATGCAGTTTTTAACATCTCTTCAAATTGAATGCCTAGCAGCAATCGCAGCTGAAGTAAAACAGCAAAAAGCAACTCTAGCTAAGCAGCGAGAGGAATACGTTAAGAAATCAACCACATTGCAGTGCGAACTGGAAATTCTGCGTCAACAGTATGATGAAATTGGTAAAGAGGGTGGACGGGAGAATACTCGTATCATAAAAGAGAATCAAAAGTTGCAGGTAAATAACTGTATCATCATTTCATTTTTCTTTGTTCTCGTTCTTGCGAGTTGCTTAAAACATTTTATAATAAAAATGGTTCAAATTCTTAGATTTGAATCCATGATGAAAATAAAATAAAGTGTATATCCAGTTAAAGGGGGTCAAAAGTGTCCTTAGACCGGTTTCGATTTGCGTGTGTTCTATTTTAGCCCAAAGAATTGAAGTTTCTCATATACATGTTATGGGCCACAACACTTAAACTACTGAACCGATTGGAAAATAGTGTTAGAAGCAATTGTTGGAAATTCGATCACCTTTAATATGGTATTTTGCGCGACCTAATCGTCGAAAAATGGAAAAATAGAAAAAATTTTCATTCTGATTTTCGAGTTTAACAGGCCAAAATATATAAGAAAAAAATAATGACGGTGAATGTACCTTTTTTTTTTTTGTAAAGTAGTGTAATTAGTCATGATATTTTTTGTTCATCCTGCATCTCTTTTTGGAGGCCTTGAAAGATATCCGCCACATATATAGTATATAATAATGGACTTTAGACCCCTTCTTGAGAAAGACCCTTAAATATCCTTCTTGTATTGCCAAAACCCACAAAACCCACAAAACTTACTGTTCTACTGTACATCCAGAGTGCTATACATGTTAGCATTCTAATTGAGATCCCTATGTTGGCTAGTTTTTCCAGCAATTTATCCATTAACACATTGTCATATGCAGATCCGATATCTAGAAATGCAGCTACTGTGTATTGTTTTTGAATCATCCCCACTTTCGCATATGAAGTTAAATTAGCTAGGTTGTCTGTACATGATCACCCCTTTCTAAATCCTGATTGAAAGTCTGGGAGAATCCTATTTTTGTCACCGCACCAACTCAATGTATCGTTAATCATTCTTTCCAATATCTTGCGCATACATGATGGTGTAATGGGACGGAAACTTTTGCCATCAGGCTTTTTAATTAATAGTATAATACTTGGCATTCGTTCCAGTCTTCTGGGATGACTTTGCTTATATATATTTCATTAAATATATCCAATAACAATAACCTGCATTTGTTAGACAACGCCTTCATCATTTTGTATTCTATCCCGTCCAATCCTGGAGACGACTCCAGGTTTATTTTCTCTATAGCTGCGTTCAGCTCAAGAAAGCTAAAGATGTCGTCTAAGAATTAATTTCTTTTCTACGTTTAAATTGAACACTGGGTTGACTGAAACCCATGGTGGGCTCAATTTCTGTATGCAGTTTTCTATAATAATTTGACTATTTTCTGTTGTCGTGTTCTTATTATTAATTTTGGCCCATTTTGTTTTGAGTGTCTTGATTCTATTCCATGTGTATATTAAGGATGTTCTAAAATTAATACTATCAGCAAATGTCTTAAAACTATCCCTTTCCTTTTTTCGTAAAACTCTTTTAGTATTTGCTGTTTGTTTTTTATATATAATCCAATTATTGAATGCTGTATTGCATAGCCACCGTTCGAATTTATTGTTCACTTCTCTTCTGGCTGGAGTGTTGTTCTTAATTGCCTGAACCATTTTTTCTGTGAAATTTTTATATTTATCTAGGACGGATATATTTAATTTTAATAATCTATTGTAGGCCGAGTCCATTTCCATTTGGTATGCTTCCCAATTTGTTCTTTTCGAGAATATTCTATTGGTCTTTTTTTCTATAAATATTCTTTTCCATATTAATTTCTTGTCTTAAGGGAAAATGATCAGAACCCATTGGTTTTTCTTCTTGATAACATTCAATCCTATTTATAAGCTTTGAGTCAGAAAATATAAGGTCGAGGTTACTAAAACTATTGCTTCTTACATTAATATGTATTTTAGAGTTAAAATTAATAACATCCATTCGATGCCTTTCCATAATATCCAGTAACTTTACCCCAGCATCGTCTGTCGTGTAACAGTTCCATGCCACATTTTTTGCATTAAAATCCCCAAGAATTATGGATGGCCCCAGTTTTTTAATTTCCTCTATACATATATCGTTCTCATATACCCCTTTATTAGGGGTTGCCCTGGTGCTCTGAATACTGAGCATACCTGCAACTTTTGTTTTAGATTACCGTTAGATTACGGTTAGGTTAATTACTGTCCTTTAATTCCACTTCTATAGTTTTGTGTTTTAGGTTTTTTGTTATAAACATAATAACTCCACCTCCTGTTTTTCCTATTCTATCTTTTCTGGCCACGTTGAAACCGTTCAATTCAAATTAGTCCTTTGGCTTCTTTAGAATTCCGCGATATCCACTAGGTGATTCTTATAGTGTTCCTCGCCTTAAATACGAATCTGACAGTGAAATTGCTCCGTCACCCTTAGTTTTCGAGAAATTCGAGATTTTGTAAATACGGTCAATTGTTAGAGAAAACGTAGTACTACTTGAAAACTACGAACGCTAGAAAGTTCCATTTAGTCTTAAAAGATAGAGGAGTGTTTTCTGAATATGAAGACATGTTCCTTAGAATTATCTGCTCTTTTGAATGCCTGTAAATGAACACCGAAGTTCAAAAAGTTGACGACGCGAGTACTTTTCACGAAATATTTTTGTATTTTTATGAAAAGTTATTCGTCTAGGTCGAATTTACTATGCATTATAGGGTACTGGAAACATTTCTGAAGAGAAAACCACCCGCGGTAAATGTTGGAACGTTTTCTAGTTCGTACAGATCCAGAAAATATTAATTTAGAACGCACGAATTCTGTTTGCCGGCACGCAGACTTCGCTCCCTTTATATCGATGAATCAGGGCCGTCGTCATGTGTTCTGCACAATCGTCGCCACGTGC